CCCCCCCCCCCCCCCCCGAGCTCAGCCAGTGTTTTGGAAGAGAAGGTTTCAATGCGATTCTGTGGGAAAACGTTTGTAAACAAATATTTCTGTAGTTGAACGCAGCTTGAACATGTCAGAATCGTGATCATTTAATGAGTCGACCCTGATAATGATCAGTAACGCCCCTCTGCTATCTTATATTTATGATCCACTAAAGGACTCATGTTGTCCATAAACCTGAGCTGCTTTCGATCTTTGCAGGACCCGCTCTGAAAATGGACCAGGCTCTGCTCACGTTTCACAACCAGCTGAACGAACAGTTGCACGTTTTCTACACGACAGATTTCTGCTACAAGGTGAGACGGTTTCTGTGTCCACAACTCCGAACCGGAACAATCCGCTCAGGTCGCCGAGGCTGATGCCGAGACAGGAGGAACACCAAAACTGGGTTCTTCTAGACGGCAGGACACTAGCTAAAAGCTATACGTCCATTTTCTTCCACTTATCCGGGGTCGGGTCGCGGGGTAGCAGCCTAAGTACGGAGGCCCAGACTTCCCTCCCCCCAGCCACTTGGTCCAGCTCCTCCGGGGGAATCCCGAGGCGTTCCCAGTCCAACCAAGAAACATAGTCCCTCCAGCGTGTCCTGGGTCTCCTCTCGGTGAGACGTGTCCAGAACACCTCACCAGGGAGGCGTCCAAGAGGCATCCTAACCAGATGCCCGAGCCACCTCAACTGGTGGCTAAAAGCCAAAAGAAGCTAAATGTTAGCTAAAAGGAACAAACCTTAGCTGAATGGAGCAAATGTTATTTAAACGGATTGAATGTAAGCTAAAAAGCAAAACATTAGTTGAGAGAAGCATAATGTTAGCTGAAAATAATGTTAGCTGAAAACAATGTTAGCTGAAAGGAGCAGAATGTTAGCTAAAAGAAGCAAAATATTTGCTTAAAAGCTAAAAGGAACAATTTCTGACAAAAAACAGAACTAGCAAGATGCTAGTTAAAAGCCCAAACTAGAAACTTGCTAGCAAGAAGGAGCAAAATGTTAGCTAAAAGCAGCTAAATGTTAGCTAAAAGCCAAAACTATCAAATGGAAAGCTAAAAATTCAAAAGCAGCAGAATGGTAGCTAAAAGGTTGTTTGACAATAACATTTACAAAAGGCTAGCTAAAAGTAGCATAAGAATGTATAGAAGCTAAAAATATCAAAATTATGCATAAAAGCTAGACATGGCAGTTAGTAGGTAAAGGTTAAATGTAACAAAATGCTAGATAAAAGCTAAACACAAAACAATGCTAGCTAAAAGCAAAAGATTAGGTAAAAGCTAAATGTAGCTAAAGGTTTGTTAAAAGCTTAAAGCAGCAAAAGATTAGGTAAAAGCTGAATGTAGCTAAAGATTAGTTAGAAGCTTAAAGCAGCTAAAGATTGGGTAAAAGCTAAATGTAGCTAAAGACAACCCACAGAAGATGCTTCTTTCCACAATTTGACAGAAACATCTTCATCATTTGTCTTTAGATGTTCTGAGTCTGTCATGAAAGGCGGCGGGCGATCTGCATTCCTCTTCAGCTTCTTTCTGAAGATCTTTTATCTTCCCGATTCTCCGACTGTCGCCTCAAACGATTGTTAGATCATCATTTGGCCTGTTTGTGTTTTTCAGTGTGTGCAGCAGCACTTGGTGTCCGTGCAGACAGACAACAGCAACTCCTCTGCAACAATCAGCACTAAGTTCACCCTGACTCTGCAGGTGGAGGGGCAGAACCGGAGCGAACCTCTCTGCAGGTACCGGAGTCAGGTCTGGAGCTACAGCATCGATCAGCTCCCTGGTTTTATTGCTCTCGTCTTGTAGACTCACTCTGTGGAGTGTGATGGCATCTCATGATCGCATCAGCAGTCTAAGATTGTTTACAGGCCCGGGGGAAGGCATCGTGACCCGCTATCAGGACCTGAGTCCTCTGAGGATCGATCTGGGGCCTGACCCGCTATCAGGACCTGGGTCCCCTGAGGATCGATCCGGGGCCTTCTGAAGGGTTAACAAGACCCGACGTTCTAATATTGATGGCCTGAAAGCCACAAGTCCTCTGGAAACATCAGGATCTAAAGTGGCAGCTCTCATTAAATAAGACCTGCAGCCGGACCCGCGGGCTTTTGGATCAGCAGGTCACCTGTTACCATGGAACCAGAGAGCGCTGAGTCAGGATTCATTCCGCTGAGTCAGCATTCACTGTTTTTCTGTTTAAAGTCTCGTCCATATATTTGGAATCAAACTAAATCTGCAGACTTTGTGCAGTTTGGATCATTCCAGTATTGAGTTGTTCGGCCGACGGGTGCTGTGATGTTTGGAGTTTGTTATTTTTAAAGTATTAAATATATTTAGTTTTGTTTACACACATTTAGAATTCCGTGGAGATCTTTGCAGCTCCTTCAAACGTCCTCTGAAATCTGCTTCAGCGTTCTCGCTCTGTTTCTGTCTTCTTGTGCTACCTTTAGCTTTAAGCTACTGTCTTGATAACTTTTGCTTTTAGGTATGGTTTTGATTAAATTAGCTTTTAGCTGCGGTTTTGTTACTTTTTGCTTGTGTCAACAATTTAGCTGATTTTACCTTTTAACTGCTGTTCTGCTTTAGCTTTAAGCTATAGGTTTAACCTTTAGTAAATGTTTTGTTAATTTTAGCTTCTAGTCAATGTTTTGCTGTTTTGTTGGTTATTAATTTTAGTTACATTATTGCTGTTTTTAGCTTCTAGTTATGGCTTTAGCATTTAGCTAAAGTTTTAAATTTTAGCTTGTAGCTAACGTTTTTCTAATTTCAAGCCTTAGAGTTTTGCAGATTTTATCTTTTAGTTATTGTTTTGGCAGTTTGAGCTTCAAGCTACTGTATTGCTGCCATTTTTATATCAGCTGAAATTTAGCCGATTTCAGATTTTAGCTACATTTCGCTGATTTTAGCTCTTAGCTGCTGTTTTTCCAATTTTAAATTTGAGCTAAAGTTTCACAAATTTTATAATTTAGTTACTGTATTGTTGTTTATTAGCTTTTAGCTATGGTTTTAGTGTTTTGCTAATGTTTTGCTCATTTTAACTTGAAGCTACTGTTTGGCTAATTTTCAATTTTAGCTGACGTTATGCCATTTTTAAATTTAACTTAAAAGTTTTGCTGAAAATTGTTCTGCTCGTTTTAGCTTTCAGCTCCTGTCCGGCTCATTTTAGCTCGTTGTCTGATTGCTTCGGGGTCTCTGTTTTAGCTGTTGTTCTGTTTGCTTCAGCTTGAAGACGTTCGGCTTCAGTGACGTTCTCTGTATTGGAGCAGAAACGGCACTTCTTCTCTGTGATCAATGCTGAGGTCTGTAACCAGACTGGACTCATTGATTTCCTTTTCCACTCTGAGAATCACTCGGAGGGACAGCAGTATGTCATCCCAACGATGGATCAATATGGACATGTGTCCTTCTGGACCGACCCGGGAGCCGATGAGACACCGGTGGGTGCAGTTTGGGTCTGTAACCACCAGGTGGCGCTCCTGAGCTTTATCGCTGTAGTGGAAGACATTAATGCTGTTTCTTCTTTTTATTGTCCAGTTAATTATGAGAAACGCTGTTTCTGTGGAAGAACGGCCTCAGATAGAAGCTTTTCTAAATAAAACTGAACATGTTTTTGCTGTGGACGCAGGTGGAGTCAGACTTATGAAGAAGGGGGTCGTTACTCCGTTTGGATCCAGGCGCCGGTGGCGTTCACTCATCCAGTCTGCAGTTTTTCTGTGGACAAGAGTCCAAACAACGCTCATCTGCGTGAGTAGAACCACACGTGTGACTGAAGCACTGCATGTCGCCCTCCGTTTTAACTCCAGATGACTCTCAGCTACTACCACACAAGCCTTTAGCTCAGTACCTGTTAACCTGACTTATCTTGGTGTTGGATCAGACTGATCAGCTGTGGCAGCCATATTGAATTGGATTGACTTTAATAACAGTCTGAATGTTTATGAAACATTCACTCGATTGAGATCTGTCTTTTCAGCATCTTTCTCGTTCCACAATTTTTGTTCTATTTCATCAAATCATGAATCAAAACGTTCGGCTCTTTCAGGATAATCCTGCTTTGATTTTTGGTATTGGTGCAACTTTAGCTGTTTGAAACATTTAGCCTTTTCTGACATTTTTTCCTCTCAGAAAATGAATTGAGCTCATCCTTCAACTCTTTAGCTCTGTTTACAACCTTTTACTGCTCCTTTCACAGTTTGTTCTGCTTCAGCTTCTTTCAGCCTTCTTGTGAAAATTTAAACCTTTTTTCAGCTACTATCAGCTAATTTTAGCTGATTTTTTTCAGCTGTTTTATGCTCCTTTGTGCTTTATTCTGCTAACTACAACATTTTTGTGCTTCTTCTAAATTCTTTCTGCTACTTTCAGCTTGTTATGGTCCTTTCAGCTTTTTCTGTAAGTTTCAACCTTTTCTGCTGTTTAAGCTACTATTGAGCTGTTTTACGCTTATTTTAGCTTTTTCAGCTAACTCCACATTTTTTGCATTCATTTAAACTTTTTTCAGCCTAATTCAGCTCTCTCCACTTCCTTGTAATTTAAGCTTCTTTCTGCTTTTTAGCTACTTTTCAGCTGTTTTTTTTTTTTTTTTTTTCAGATAAATTCAAGTTTTTCATATTAATTTCTGCTACTTTCAGCTTATGGTCCTTTCAGCTTTTTCTGCTATTTCAGCTACTATTGGCTGTTTTAATGCAAATTTTAGCCTTTGCTGCTAATTACACCTTTTTTGCACATTTTAGCTCTTTCTGTTTCCTTCTGGTAGTTTAAGCTTCTTTCTGCTTTTCAGCTACTTTTCAGCAATTCTTTTGTTAAATTCAGCCATTTCTTTTAGCTGATTTCATAACTTCTGTGCTACTTCAAATATGGTTTTTTTTTCTGTTTTCTTCTACTAATTTAGTTAATTTAGTCTTGTTCTTTCATTTCAGCTACAATTCATCAGTTTTTTTTTTTTAGCTAATTTAAGCTGTTTTTCAGCAAATTCTTCTGCAATAAGCATTCACACTGCATTTTCACAGGAAGTGTGATTTTCTCTAGTTAATCAGGTGTAAATGTACATCTAGGGATTCTTTTCTGGAAGTTTCATTAAGGTTTGTTTAGTGGATCATGAGAGGTTTTTCTAACCAACAGCTAAAAACTCTTCACCTTCTGCAGCAGGTGATGATGCTGAAGCTTCCTTCAACTCATGGCCTTTTGATTCATCCCGTCTTTACCAGAGTCGGAGCCTCCACGGAGGAGAAATATCCCGGGACGTCGCGTGTATCGATCAGAAAAGCCTTAGTTTCTTGAAAAAGGATAAAAGAAAAGCTTGTGTGCTCGTTCTGAAGTGTGCGTGGTGATCCATTAGGGAGTGTGGAAGGATTAGGGCGTAATGGGATTCTGAAAGCGTCTCTCTGCATAATGTACACTCTACTTAACAACACTGCAGATTATGTTGGACACGGGGCTTTTAAAGCCAAGGAGCCATTATCTGTTCTGGTCCGAGTGACAGCAGGATGAGCTTCCATTAGCTCCACAGACCGGTGATTACACCATCTCCCCTCAGAGACCGCTCCGCCTAAATAACAGTCTGCTCAGCACAGGTAGGAAACACGGTGATGGGGAGTTCACTCTCAGGTGGACACGAGACGATTAACGGAGCCGATGCAAAGTAACGTAAAGCACCTTTTGTTTTTATATTGGGCTGAACCCCTTCATGGTGTGACAAATTACCTAACGCTCAGAAATTAAATCTACAGCTGATTCACGTTTTGAGTCAAGATGGCCGCCACTGCTAGCGTTCCTGTGAAGCACAAAAATGGCTACAACTCTGTCGGTGTGGAAAACGGAGTGTGGTGAAGGAGAGCGCCCGGGCAGGATGGAGGAGTTTCAGGAGTGATTTGTGACAAAAGGGTGTCGGCAAAGGCAACGTTCCTCCTGCCTTTATACAAGCAGGGTTCCCCGCCCTGCCTACCGAACCAACACCCCCCCCCCCCCCCCCCGGTCGACAACCGCCAGCACTGACGTAGCGCTAAGCTAGTAGTGCACAATACAGACGCGCAGCTAGCGCTCCATTTCCCTCACGCTGAGATGTTTCCTCCAGACCCCCTGCCCCGACAGTACTAACAGTGTGCAACACAGATGTGTCTCCGTCCCCGACCCCCACCCCCCCCCCCCCCCCCCCCCCCCCCCCCCCCCCCCCCCCCCCCACCCCCCCCCCACCCCCCCCCCCCCCCCCCCCGACAAAAATCACAGAAGAGATGAGCGCCCTGCCAAGGCAGGTATTGTAGAGGAAACACTGCCAGGTCAAAGGAAAAGTTTACAAGACAGTGGTGAGACCAGCTGTGTTGTATGGTCTGGAGACAGAGACATGGACAAAAAGACAGGAGACAGACATGGACAAAAAGACAGGAGACAGACATGGACAAAAAGACAGGAGACAGACATGGACAAAAAGACAAGAGACAGACATGGACAAAACGACAAGAGACAGACATGGACAAAACGACAAGAGACAGACATGGACAAAACGACAAGAGACAGACATGGACAAAAAGACA